TTTTCTCTTTGAAACGTTTCTGGAAAATGTGAACGGATAAGGGTGCTTGATTGTTGCAAATTTATGTTTTAGTCGTTCACGTTAAATTCTCACGATAAATTTTTGAAATTTTCAGGAATTTTTATTTGATTATGATAACGAGTAATTTGGCGGGATCCATTTTCCAATCAGAGGGTACCGGAAAAAAAATAAGAATCTGAGCCGTCCCGGGCAATAGGGGTCCTCCTTCGTCGGAACCCCTAAAAAACTTCATTTACGATCAAGCGACTGACACTCCATCTTTCATTTGACACCACTCTCATTTTCCCACATGCTGTGAGATCTGAGATGAAAGATGTCCCCCCAAAACTCATTTTTGAACACAATACTCGTTCTAGAGTTTTGTATGTTAATGAGTGGTGTGTAAAGAACGAGTAAAAAATACATGTAACACCAGGAAATCGCGCAACACAGGTTGACCCTTTCCCTCTATTATTTATCGGATGCGGGCCAAAAACATTTTAGGAGTTCTGCCTTAAAACTATTTGAGATTGTCTAACGGTGCAATCAACAAATACAAACACCGCATGCTGTTTTGATTTGAGATCACGACGATAAGCGCGCCGATATCTATGAGGGGACCGTGCCGAAGGCTGCCCAGCGCCGCTGGCCAAAAGCCAAGTGTAAAAACCAAATTTTTGAAAGGATTGTCGAAACTGGTGCAGATTCTCAATGGCAAAGCCAATTACGACAAGCCACACGGTTTGCCGTCTACCCTGTTGAAGACGCCCCCACCCCCCTTTTCCCCCCATAGTGGCGTAGCAATACGCTTGGCCCAGACCGCCCCGATGTAGCGTTACACAAAATTAATTATTCATGAAAACATAGCTTTAACCCTCTCACATTCTGAGTGTTACGCGTGACTTAACGCCGCCCTCTCATGTCCATACCGCAGCGTAACGCTCTCGGCCCCCCTGCCTCGAAGAGCGCACCGTAATAAAGGGACGTCCCCAAACAAACGCAACTGGCAAGACGAACTCAAATCCAGGGCCACTTGTCCTGTTTTACCTTTGCAAGTTAGCCCAACGTAGATCGGAAATACTCACGTTCCTCGCCGACTTTCCTTCACGCTAATCCGGACGACCAGAAAGAAATCCTAAAGTCGTAAGCACATTTGACGGTGGATCGTGACGTTTACAGTGACCGGAAACAAGGGTGACCGGCTTATCTAGCGAACTGATTCCCTGGTTGAAATGCCTGCACAAACACTCACACTTAATGATTGTGAACAATTTTGTACGTGTAACTTGCACGATTATGTGCATGTAAGTTGAATTTGCATAATATTATGCGTACAAGTCCATAAATTTAAACAGATTTGAGCATAATCATGTGAAAAACGTTGCAGAGGTTTCAAAATACGCATCAGCAAGTACAAAATTGTGCACAAACATTTAGCGTGCAGGCTTTCTCGGCGCCCCGTTGGCAGTGGAGCCTTACCGTCGCGCGGTGCACCGTCTCTCTGCACCGTCTCTCGGCCTCGCGTACCCACTGCAACTTACCTTCGGGAAGTCCGCCTTGGGCAAGCCGACGAGGGACCGCTGGGAACACTGCGGCTGCGTTTCACGGCCCGAAGTGCGCCACGAACTCTGCAACGGAAGTGGAGCGGAATTGAAGAAGTAATGCAACAGATTCTGCGATAGTGCGGATGTCGAGAAAAGAGGAAGCGTGGAAGGGAATCGCTCGCGGTTACGCAATGTCAGGATCCGCATCGTTCTCGTTGCTTCCGCTTCAGTATAACGTACCCACTTCGAATCCAGAGGTCAGACTTCTCTCCACTCCAGTCTCTCGCCAACACACTAAATGTCATGGGACTTTTTTTGTCCCACGGTTTATGCAATTTTAAGCACATCCGGTGGTGATGCAATTTTGTGTCCGCCAGGCGGGACAAATTGTCTAGTGAAAGTACAAGTTGCAGCTGGCGCCGGACAAAATGTGTCACCAGACGGGAACAAAATTGTTTCAGCGTCGGATGTGCTTAAAATTGCATAAACCGTGGGACAAAAAAAGTCCCATGACATTTAGTGTGAAGGTTTGGCCAGATCTAAATGTCTCGCCAAAATTTTGTCAGACAAAAAAGTCTCGCCACTAAACGGTCAGACACAAAAGTCTCACCTCGAGACTTTTGTGTCTGACCACGGCCCTAAAAGGACGTAACCGATCGGCTCATTACGGCTTTCAGGTGGCGGTCAGACACTTAAGTCTCTGAGACTTTTGTGTCTGTCCGTTTTGAGGCGAGAATTTTTTGTCTGACCTAATTTTGACGAGACTTTCAGGTCTGACCAAAACTTGGCGAAACTTTATGTCTCGCTATATTTTGGCGCGAAGTCTTTCCATCCAATTTGCAGTGCAAGCTTGTGAACAAAGCTGGGTGATTCCATGTTAAAGGTCGCACACTTCCCGACTTCGATATCTTCGATTTCGCTCATATTTGGTAAATCGTCATCAATTAGTGAATAGATGACTCGTGCAAAATGGTTTCGGTCAGAAGTGAACCGTTCCAGAGATCTGCACACTAAATGTCATGGGGCTTTTTTGGTCCCACCGTTTTTGCAATTTTAAGCACATCCCACGCTGATACAATTTTGTTCCCGCCTGGCGACACATTTTGTCCGACGCCTGCTGCAAATTGTACTTTCACTAGACAATTTGTCCCGCCTGGCGGACACAAAATTGCATCACCACCGGATGTGCTTAAAATTGCATCATTCATGGGACAAAAAAAGTCCCATGACATTTAGTGTGTGGATACGTGATGTTTTTGGGTCACTAAAAAAACCGCGGTTCACTGTGACAAAATCACCCATAATTCGGCCATTTTTGAAGATATCGCAAATCCGAGACCTGATTTGGAAAGAGCAGAAAATTTTGCAGAAAACTGACTACCTCGATAGGTCGATGGGTCAAAGTTCGTTTTTCCACTTTTTCTGAACAGTAGTAAAAACTTTCATGAGCTACCCCCAAAATACCTATGTTTCTATTTGTCTCATATTTGGTTTATGGGGCCTCTACCTAGTAGAATAACCCCCTAAAATATTGCGACTCGTTTTTCACTCGTTTAGCCGTGGTGGGGTGAAACGTGCAACAACGCACCAGAAAATCGCGTTTTCCCACGTTTTTTACGCTTGAAGAAGGGCGTACTAAAGTTTATTAAAATTCAACAAAATTCGACTGAAATTCGTCTAAATTCGACTGAAATTCATCTAAATTCGACTGAAATTCATCTAAATTCGACTGAAATTCATCGAAATTCGACTGAAATTTGTCGAAATTTGACCAAAATTCATTGGAATTGTACACTGAAATTCACAGTGATTTCCTCTTCAGTTGCCCTGTTAATGACAAGTCGAGGGGTCCTAGTCAAATTATCTTATCTGGGCGTTCCCTCCAAGAGAATCTTATCTCCAACGCAAGTGAATTTTTCTCAGTTTGATCATTTGGGACAAACACGAGAGTAAGCGAAAAAATTTTCTACATGCACTTTTGGTTTCTTTGATCTTTCATATTCAGGTTTAAGTGAATGAAATCACAAATAATTTTGATTTTTAGCTATATCAAATGATCAAACTGAGTGAAATTTGCCTGCTTGCGGGATAAGATTCTCTTGGGGGAATGCCTACACACTAAATGTCATGGGACTTTTTTTGTCCCACGGTTTATGCAATTTTAAGCACATCCGACGCTGAAACAATTTTGTTCCCGTCTGGTGACACATTTTGTCCGGCGCCAGCTGCAACTTGTACTTTCACTAGACAATTTGTCCCGCCTGGCGGACACAAAATTGCATCACCACCGGATGTGCTTAAAATTGCATAAACCGTGGGACAAAAAAAGTCCCATGACATTTAGTGTGTAGATAAGATCTTTCGAATAGGACCCATCGTAGTGGTCTTCGTTTTTGCGTTCGCGTCGGGCGCCGGGTGCTGTCAAATGTGTTAAAGATAAAGAGAAGCTCCAATATACCTTTTTTTTGTCAAGACCTTGCAGTCCTCGTCCTTGTACGGCAGCGAGGTGCGTGCGCATCGCAAACACTGAAAATCAAATAGTGATACATCTCACTCTCTGAGGGGTGAGACATAACTGTCTCACCGAAAAACGGGTGATACTAAAATGTATGACCGAAAAAATGGTCGAAGTATCGCCTTTGCATTTGCAGTGTACGGAGTTAAAGCGCGGATGGCTTTTAAATGAAAATTTACCCCCCTTATATCTCCGGATCCACCCCTGAAATGTTCGAAATATGATCAGATTTAGAATCAGCGGCCATAAAAACAGAGAATATGGAAGGATGATTTTTTCAGAAAAGTAGTTAAGTTGTAATGACTTTTTCCGTCAAAAGTGGTCTTTCCGACCACTGCGCGGCCGCAACATCATCGCGAAATACTCCATAGCAGAGGAAAGCAGCCGGGCGATTCAGAAGACCGGTTTGTCGCACTGTCCCCTGTCTCTCTCGCACCCTTACGGAGAGCCCCATGCGTGCGAGAGGGACAGAGGGACGTTGCGACTCTTCTGAATCGCTCTGATTACGACGTTCTTCCAACTACAGCCGACACCGAACAGCCGAGCGATTCCGCATCAGCATGAGTCTGTCTCTCTCGCACCCTCACGGAACGCGCTATGCGTGTGAGTGAGACAGAGTGACAAAACCTTTGTTCGGAATCAGCCTGTATGCGCTTCCGACGCTCCAACGGGCGAGCGAATCTGAGTCGTTTCGTCGCTGTGTCTCTGTCGCACTGACGGGGCTGTCGCGACCGAGGGACGAGGCGGTGAGCGGGAGGCTTGAGGGCTGCGGCACGGCCAGCGCCGGTCAGTCAGTGGCCACCGGTTGCCGCGCTGTGTTGTGTTCTCCGAGTACGTCGCGCTGCCGCTCTGTTTACCATTTGCTGGACCATCCGAAACGGTAAGAAAATCATCAGTGGACAAATTTTCTGCGACCATTGTCCTCGCGTTGAGGCTTTGTCTATTTCGGACAGCTCCTGTTTCTTTTCGCTTTTAGGTGGTAAATTCAGTGCTGGTGGCTGATTTTGGTACCGTCGTGCCAGTGATTGCGTGTGCATGTTTGTCGATATGTGTCGTTCTGGTGGAAGTTACACTGTGGCAAAAAGGTACGGAAAATTCTGTTAATTTTTTTGCCAGGATTCTCTGTAGCCTTCTTATCAATATTCTCCGTAGGCTCTTACAGAATTCTCCGTAGGGCCGTACACACTAAATGTCATGGGACTTTTTTTGTCCCACGGTTTATGCAATTTTAAGCACATCCGGTGGTGATGCAATTTTGTGTCCGCCAGGCGGGACAAATTGTCTAGTGAAAGTACAAGTTGCAGCTGGCGCCGGACAAAATGTGTCACCAGACGGGGACAAAATTGTTTCAGCGTCGGATGTGCTTAAAATTGCATAAACCGTGGGACAAAAAAAGTCCCATGACATTTAGTGTGTACAGTATTCTCTGTAAGTCCGCACAGTCTTCTCCGTAGGACCTGGAAGACTGTATAGTCCTACGGAGATCACTGTAAGGTCCTACGGAGAATACTGTGCGGTCCTACGGAAAATACTGTAAGAGCCTACGGAGAATATTGATAAGGGGGCTACGGAGAATTCCCACAAGCTGCTTACAGAATTTTCCGTAGGTTTTTGCCACAGTGTATGGCCATTTTTGTCGCCCGCCATCTGTGTTCTTTGTGTGAGTGCGATAAGCAGGCAGCGACGCCGACGCGTTTCCAGCCGTGTCTCCTTCGTCCTGCCTGCCACAAGAGTGAGGTTAAGGGGCGACCCTCGTTCTGTGCACCCTCGAGGCGACCTGCTGCAGCCTTCCATCCGAATTCTCATCTGCGTCATCGCCGATGGATCCGTCTGCATCACCTGCTCCTTACTGTGGAATTCCAGGTGACTTTATGCCTCGCTTCTGGAGTGGCGAGAAGCCTGACCTTTGCATCTGAGTGTGTGTCGAGCTGCGGGTCAGGGTATTCCCCGTGTTCCTTGTTTGGGTTGCTTGGCAGTGCTGCAACCAGATTCAAGTTTCCGGGCATCGACTTTCCCCTTGAGCTGTGAATTTGCTAGCTGTTCTATTTTTATTTCGTCGGTATTTTCTTACTCGCTACGTCGTGATGGTGAACGTGATCCAGAAGGTGCCGCCGCTACGCGTTGCAGCGATAAGCGCACACTAAATTACTATGTAGGTTTTTCTGCGCGCTAATGCACGAAATTGTACATGCACTTCCTAACGCACGAATTTGTGCGCGACAATGCACGATTTCCTGCATACTTGCGCACGAAATCGTGCATTATCGCGCACAAATTCGTGCATTACGAAGTGCATGTACAATTTCGTGCATTAGCGCGCAGAAAAACCTACATAGTAATTTAGTGTGCGAGGACTGCCGCTGAGTCGGCGATCCGACATGTAAGAGGAGCGACGGAGGGGCCCGCAGAAGGAAGGCATGCTACAAAATGTGACGCTGACACCACCGAGGTGGCGGCCCAGGAGGCCTCCACTGTGAAAATTTCTTGTCACTTTATGACAAAAACATGGATGATATTTTCATCCCTTTCAAATGATGACAGTCTCATCAAAATTTGACGACATTTTCATCAAAGCTCCTATACTTATTGCATGGGCGTGACAACAAATTCATCAATTGTTTTGATGACATCGTTGTAAGGAAATTTAGCCTTGAAATCGTCATCAAGTGACCACTCAAATTTTCACAGTGTCACTGCATCTTTTTTGCCTCCGTGGTCAGGCGTGGATTGGAGGGGGGGCTAGATAGCCGCTTGAAAGGTAGGCAAAAATGCTACTTTGCCCCCCCCCCCCACAGGCCGCCTCTGGATCCGCCACTGCCCGTGGGCTGCATTTTTCTGCCCCTGTTTCAAGCAGGGTTGCCGGGTCGGAGCTGTGGGTTTCAGCGAACGAGTTCCCGCTGGCTCACTCCTATGTTTCTTGTCTGTTCGAACGAACCCGGTTTCCCTCCTACGCATTTTCTTGCTGCCGTCTTGTTCTTTTGCATCCTCCTTCCACCCTCCCCCTTTCCCCTTGCCCCCTTTCCCCTCCGAAACTTTCAACACCTCCCCCCCTTCCGCTTCCGCACTGCTAAAAATCATTGTCTGATACGGAGCATGCTACGGCGTTCCGTATACCCCCTGAAATGGTGATACGGACATCTGCCGTACCACTCTTCCCATAAGAGCCTGTGCTTTGTAAAGCGTGGTACGGAAATTTAACGGAAAATACCGCTTATTTTAGACCGGAGGTTGCCGTTTCGGTTTTCCGTTTGTGAAATAGTCCAAAATGCTCTACGGACCGTGAGACACGGACGCTGCGTAACGCAAAATTCTCTGACGAAACGCATGAAACGGTCACTCCGTAGGGATACGGACTGGCCGTTACACGTTATCCGTTACAGAACTTTGAGTGACGGAGCGTCCGTTCCTTACGGTCCGTAGAGCATTTTAGACTATTTCACAAACGGAAAACCGAAACGGCAACCTCCGGTGTAAAATTAGCGGTACATTTTCCGTTAAATTTCCGTACCACGCTTTACAAAGCACAGGCTCTTATGGGAGGAGTGGTACGCGAGGGGTTACCCACTCCGGGAATCGTGTGTAAACTCAGTCCGGGAATCGTTCGTAACTCGCTCAAAATTTTATCGAAAATCTTAAAAGTTTCAATGGAGAGGGATATGTAAGAGACACTAAACACTCAAAAGCTAAGAAAAATCTTCAAAAACCTCTCCTTTTATGCAAGATTTGTTCAGGAATCGCGGGAATCCGGAATCGTGTGTACGCCCTAGTACCGAGTGGCTAACCCCTCGGTGGTACGGCAGATGTCCGTATCACCATTACAGGGGGTATACGGAACGCCGTAGCATGCTCCGTATCCGACACTAATTTTTTTGCATTGCGGTCTGCGAGGGCAAGGGTTCACCGGACCTATAGCCAGGTGACCTACCCTTGGTAATATTTACATAATCTACATTTTATCACGAATATTTAAAATATTTACAGTGGGGGGGGGGCGATCTGCGAGGCCACCTACTCTGCTGACGGTGCGTCCGGCGGCCGGTGCAGTGCTGACCTTGCACTGACGGCTGTGCTCGCGGGGCGCTGGGCCTTCGCCGTCGCCGTTGACAGTTGGCCTTCGGCGTTGGTGCAGGGAGGTCGTTGCTGCTTCGTGCGGGGCAGCCACGCGGTCTACACGAAGTCGTTGGTGGGGACCTTCAGGTAGGTCAACGGGCGGGCACCGTGTGCGGGTGGCGCGGGCGGTGCCGTCGGCTGGGTGAGCTTCTCGCTGGCCGGCTGCTCGAGGGGGTGAGTTGCAGTGGCGCCCAAACGTTTTGAGGACGGTGTAGCAAGCCTTCTGAACTCCCTCCCTTTAAGCTCCAAACCTCCCTTTAAATCTTACCCCCCCCCCCCCCAAAAAAAAAAAAAAAAAAAAAACTTCAAAATTCGTTTGGAAGAAAAATGCACTGCATTCCGATCGTCTTATTTCGTCGTGACACGCCCCCATTTGCTATGGGCCGTTGCCCTTACACTCTAAATGTTGTACAGTGAAGATTCTCCATATTATGGTGAAAATGTTCCATATTATGGTGGTGCAGCTGACTTCGTAACATACCATTGAGAATTCCCTGTACCTTATGGAGGTTTTGACGAATTTCGCTGGTATTATGGAGAAAATCTCCACCATATTATGTAGGTGCAGCCTTTCACCGTAAGACATTTACTGTGTAGTAATAAAAGTAGTGTGAGGTAAGATTAGGGGTTAAGAGGCCCGGCGGGAAAGATTTGAAAAGGCCTTTATTTTTCAGTAGTAACACTGAGAATCCAAACGCTTTGAGTATAGCGTCAATTGGTGCAATACAAAAGCATTGCACATGAAGTGCAATGCCTCCTCATTCCCATGCATAAGCGAGTTGGCTTGCAGGTGGGCACGCGACGCGCCGACGTCCTTCAGGGATATTCTGGCCAAGTTGGTCACGTTGCTGCGGTCGTACGCCGTCAGCGCCAGGGCTCCGCCGGCGAGCAGGACGACGGCGAGGGGCAGAGACGCGCGGCTTGGTGTCATGGTGGGACGGAGCTGAGTGGAGTCCGTCTTTTTCGTCGCCCGGCTGGAGCCGTTGTTTGGGTTTGTGGAGGCGCGCTGGCGCCGTTCGTGCGGGGCGCTGACGCTCTGTCGATGAGAACAGAGTTCAGAGTTCGTTTATCTCTGGCGTCGAAGCGCCCGATAGATAGGCAACCCACCACACTGTCAGAAAAAAAGTCCGTAAAATTACGGAGAAAGTTACTCTAATTTTGGGAATGGAGGCTCCGTAAATTTTCCATATTTTTACGGAGATTTTCTATATTTTTACGGAGATACACCGCATTTTTGCAGAAATAAACGCATTTTAACGGTTTACTTCCTTCCACCTTCCATGTTAATGCAAACAATGTCCTTTTAGACGAAAGTGATATTCTCCAAAACTGTTTGAAGATCCACTTGACCCCATGCCATAAGGATCGGCTAAATGGACGGAAACCCAAAGGCGAGGTCGCTTTAAGGAAGGCGCACTCTTGGAACACCTAATCAGTTGGTCACCCAACCCATCGATAACGTGAGTTAGTCTGTTCTTTTTGATAAGTAAGGCTTCTATTTCATTTATATACATAACTTCCATATTTTTATGGAGAAAATCCATAATTCAAAAAAAAACGGAGATCTCCGTTAAAAAAAATGGACAGTCTCCGTTAAATTTCCGTATTTTTACGGAGTTTTCTGACAGTGCAGGCCTTCAACGCGGTCGTGTAGGGAAGGTTCCCTACAGGGGTTGCCTTTAATCGAGGGGTGACCCACTGAAAAATTTCGTGTACAATGATTGTGTGAATGTGCAAGATTTCTGGCGTTTTGCCACACATGTTGCCTACTTTGAGGCGTTTTTGCCACACATGTTGCCTACTTACAGGCGTTTTTGCCACCTGAACGTGGAATGTGGTCAAATTTTGTACCATGAATGTGGGAAGCTGTTCCCCCCTCGCCTTTAATGCAGACGAAAACGCGTCACCCCGCGGCCACCATTTGCCGCGCCAGAGCGATTCTCACGTTTCGGGGTAGTTTTGGCGTCTCTGATTTGCCGAAAGTGAGAAATATCCAATTAAGTTTTTCTGATTATTGGGGTCCTGAATGATACTAGAGTTATGGCAATGGTATTTATAGTAAAGACCTTGTACTATCTTCCTAAAAACATGAGCCATAAGGTATTCCCATACGTTTTAGTGGGTGTTTTGATCACGGAAATTACGTTATCACGGAAGTTACAAAGTGTGAAAATCAGCTTTAACGGCTGACTCGGGTTTGCTGTGGCTTCAAAGTCGTTCCAGGGTCAAATGATACTCTAAGCCCGACATTTCAGCGGAAAAATTTTTCACCTAGTGCTGCTGCAACATTGGGTAAAGGGTGCCACGGAAGTTACAGGTAATTGTTGATACACGCCATTTTATAATGCTCTAGCCCGCTTTGAGACCGTATACAGCATCTTAGATTTCCGCGACCCATGCAATTATATCCCAGGGACTCCACTTTGATGGCTTGTGTCATGGAAAGTTAAAAGTTTGGCTTAGGGAGAAGTCCAGAGCTGCCTTTTCGAAATTTGTGTAGTTAAATTGAATATACGGAGGACATTTTTCGTTGCAGGATAAGTACCTTTGAAAGAAGTGTGGCGTATTGGTCTTCGGTTGAAATTAGCTCGAGACATGCCAAGCTTCGAATCCCCATCGACAGTGGGCAGCATTTTCGAACCACACCGCCACACTGGGGGCGGAAAGTTCGAGTATGTTCTCTTTGGAAAATCACGGAAGTTACATTTGGGGTATTCCAAACGTTACTAGACCAATCCAACGAACGAGAACTTTTCGAAATGTGTGCGTTTAGTGGGAAATGGCCCTCCCTAACATCAGAAACAAACCCCATGTCGATATCTGCGCTCGTTTGGGCACAGGAGTCAGAAGAAACGAAACTACCCCGAAACGTGAGAATCGCTCGCCAGTGTCCGATTTCCAGCGCCTCCTCCCTAAATTTACCGTGCGACTCCGCTCTGTGGAAAATTCAAACGAGAACCACAAAGAAAGAGGAGTTCCCGAACCGACCCTCCAACGTGGCTGATGCTGTCACCCAAGGAGAACAGGTAGTCAAAATCAAATCAAACTGACATCAAATGATGTGATTTGGACATCAAAAGGGACCAAATTTTGCCCAAAAGATGGCTCATTTTGAGGTCATATTGACATAATTTGGACTTTTTTGTTCTCCCTGGGCACGGTTCGGACGACATGGTTCTTCTTTCCGGTTCCGCTTTGGATAGAGCGGCGGCTTGAATGCAAGTATTGCACCGTTCGTCATTGTTGCAGATGGAGTGCGACGTGTGCATGCAGCACTTCGACTCGGAGGAGCGCCGCCCCAAGGTCCCCTTTCCCCGCGGCCACACGTACTGCATCTCGTGCCTGAGGCAGCTGCCGGCCAAGCAGTGCCCCGCGCAAGAAGGGAAGGCCCAGCCTCAAACAGTGGGGGTGGTCATGTTTCTTTCTCTCCGACAGCGCATCAATGCTTGCATGGAATTAGTCCATGAAGTGGAGGGAGGACGCAACTCAATTTTTATATTTTTCTAAGAGAAAAATTTACCTGTTTGCAGAGTAAACTAAGCAAAACAAAAGAATCATGCAGATGGATATTAGTCAAGAAAGCATGGTGAAAATTTTTCCCTTTGTCACTCCGTTGACGGTTGCTGTGATTTAAATCTTTACGTTAGTATGGATTACGGAACTATGTTCACTTAGTTCTCCCAAACAAGGTGGAATTCGGAGACTATTCAAGTGGAGCTGAGGTATCAGTAAAGTCTTTAATAGTGCTCAGGAACATTATTTAGGAGTTACCTCTCTTTTTGGAACTCGTGTTCAAAACTTAAGGGTGGTTTAAGTTAACTCTTTCTCATGTAAGTCATAAAATACAAGTTGAGTTATCTCCTTTTTCAATTTTGTGCAATGAAGTCATGTGGACTCTGGTTGAGTTATCTCCATTTTCTGATGAAAGTAAGACCGCAACCAGGGCAAGTTGAGTTTTATCCAAAAAAGGGTACCAAAAATATCAGAAGATCTACGTGGGTTTTCTCCTAGGCAGCTTGGAATTAATTAATTAAATCAAAAAATTTTGGGGTAATGATGAAAGCCATCCTGAGGCACAATAACAAGGTAGGTGTACGCCAGGCCGTATCTTGTTGTAACAGGCTTCGCGATGCTGCGCCAGTTGCGACAATCCACGCCTGGCGTATACACCTACCTTGGCCTTCGGCAGGCTGTTCCGAGACAAACAGTAGAAATGGGCGTGATCCCCTCAAAAAATAGCATTTGGCGATCAAAATCTACACTGATGGGTCTTAACTGTGGGTCGGGGGTCAGGATGGCTTCTAGTTTCGTCATTAGCACCCTCATAAACACAGGAAATGATACGAGACTCGACCTAAAGTTGAAAGTACCTGTCTTTTTTCTGCCGTTTTCTAAGTGTTTTTCAGTTAATATGACCAAATAGATTGAGTTAGAAAGCTGAATTTTGGTTTGTGGCGATGATGATGATAGCCAAGGACATGCCATGCCTAATGACCCTGCAAAATCGGCCGAGCCGTTTAGGAGGAGTAGTGAACACACACACAGACAGACAGAAATTTAATTTTAGCCGCACTCGAGTAACGGGCTTTGCTATCGCGCAGCCAATAAATTAGCTCAGTTTGCATATAAGTCAAGTTATTCCATTCATCCGCTTTCTGGATCAATTATTATTGGAAAATAACTGAACCAGATTCCACATGACCCCGTTGCACAACAAAACGGCAAAAGAAGATAGCTCAACTTGTGTTTTTATGACTCTAATGTATAAAGAGTTAACTCAACTTAAACCCCCGTTTATTTCAGAACCTCGAGTTGGAAAAAAAGAGGTAACTCCAAAAATGTACGACAGCACTGTAGACTTAACGCAGACCTCAGCTCCAGTTGAATTGTCTCCAAATTCTACCTCATTTGGGAGAACTAAGTAAACGTGGTTCCGTAGTCCATTGCAACGAAATATTTAAATCACTCAAACCGTCTACGAAGTGATCTTACGTCTAAGAAAATTTTCAGTTACTAATCATGCTTTCTTATTAATATCCATCTGCATGATTTATTTGTTTGGATTTAGTTAACCCTGCAAACAGTTAAGGGGAGATTATACTGAAAAAATGGCCGTTTTCGGTCAAAAATGTGAAATTGGATTTTCACGAAAATACCTTGTTCAGACCTTTGTCTAGCCGGTACAGCAATTGTTCCTTCTCACAAAATATATTAAGAATCTTTAAAAGCTGGATTCGTGCACGCTCTGAGAAAACCTTACAAACTATTTTTGGCCTTACAAAGAAAAGTAGTTTGTATAACAACGTAGCATACGTAAGCTCACAAAGAAAATACTTTGTAATTTACAAACTATTTCTTCGTATAACAAAGTATTTTTGGCTGAGCGATAGCGAAGCCAGTTACTCAGGTGGGGTTGAAAAGTTTTTCCTGTCTGCGTGCGTGCGTGTGTGTGTGCGTGCGTGTGTGTCCGCACTACTCCTCCTGAACGGCTCGGCCGATTTTGGTGAGATTTTGCACACTTTTTAGGTATGTCCTTGGCTCGGCACACGCGAAATTTCACAATCCTAGCTCAACTGGTTCAGTTTTTATAGTTGAAAAACACCTAAAAACGGCGAAAAATCGAGTTTTCTGAAGATAGATCACTCCTATCTCGGAGAAAGTGGGGTCTGGGGGGAGGAGCCCCCCAGCCTCGACAAGTTAAAAAGTTACAAGGGTCAAGATCGTGTTATCTGTAGATGGAGCATCTCTGTCTAGAATGTAGGGGGGTCTGGGGGCGGAGCCCCCCAGCATGCAACAAGTTAAAAAAATTACCGACAATGGACGAGCCATTGCCTGCCGAAGGCAGGCTAGCGCCCTACATTCTAGACAGAGATGCTCCATCTACAGATAACACGATCTTGACCCTTGTAACTTTTTAACTTGTCGAGGCTGGGGGGCTCCTCCCCCCAGACCCCACTTGATGCGTAGTTCACTAAGTTTGCGCCTCTCGTCTAAACGAGACACAGGACCGAGCACAGGACAATCGTTCCCGACGGCTCTATTTGCTAAGGCACTTTCATACTTTAACTTAATCCCACTGACTGTAGTAAAAAGTTTGAAGCTTTGTGCCTGCATAGAATTAACTTTTGTCCCGACGTTTTCACTTCCCAAAAATCCACATGTACACTGTTACGAGTTTGGCACTCCAGGAGACAAACGGTAAGTCGCAGCCTCAATCTGAGGGCTGCAATGGATTCCGGATGAAAAAACACTTCTAGACACCAAGTTTTTAGGGATGTGTGTCAAATGGCTAGCACCTGATTGGTACCCAAATTTGAAAAAGGGGGTCGCGTTTTTTTTAAATGTAAACTCCGTACCCGATTTGCCACGGATCCCCTGTGCGTCAAACTTTCGAAATGTGGATGAAAACAATGCTTTGGTGGTCCTTTAGTCAGCTGTGTATGCGCGTTCTACTGTTTCAACTCATACGGCTGCAATCCAGGTATTTGCTTCAAAATGTAAACTCCGTAGGCGTCAATTTATGTAAACTCCGTAGACATTTCCCCTATAATTGGCTGAGCGTTAGCGAAGCCTGTTACTCCAGTTGGGTTTAAAAACTTTTTCTGTCTGTTTGTTTGTCTGTCTGTCTGTGTGTATACAGTACTCCTCCTGAACGGCTCGGCCGATCTGGCTGAGATTTTGCAGGCTCATTAGATATGTTCTTGGCTCGGCACACGCTAAATTTCACTATCCTAGCTCAACTGGTTCAGTTTTTATAGCCGAAAAACACCTACAAAATGGCGAAAAATCGAGTTTTCTGCAGGTAGATCTCAACCACTAATCGGGGGTTTCAAATAATCGCACGATTTACAAAATAATCGCGATTATTTTCGATTAATCGCCCAGGCCTAGGCGCTGAGTGCTGCGCATTCGATTCCTACATTTTTGCGTCGCGGTGTTCGTACCACGTGACCCTGGATGGCAGGGGACATTACCGTTGGGATGTTAGAAGAAAATACAATCCTACAGGGTCAAAAAGCTTAAAAAATGGGAAGGGGAAAAAACGCTCAACTTTGAAAGTGTGCCATTTCTAAACGGTTCGTCGGAAAAATATGAGGTTGTGCTCATTGGATTCCTTGGGAGCGATTCTCACGTTTCGGGGTAGTTTCGTTTCTTCTGACTCCTGTGCCCAAACGAGCGCAGATATCGACATGGGGTTTGTTTCTGATGTTAGGGAGGGCCATTGCCCACTAAACGCACACATTTCGAAAAGTTCACGTTCGTTGGATTGGTCTACGTAGCGCTTGGAATACCCTAAATGTAACTTCCGTGATTGTCCAAAGAGAACATACTCGAACTTTCCACCCCCAGTGTGGCGGTGTGGTTCGAAAATGCTGCCAACTGTCGATGGGGATTCGAAGCTTGGCATGTCTCGAGCTAATTTCAACCGAAGACCAATACGCCAGACTTCTTTCAAAGGTACTTATGCTGCAACGAAAAATGTCCACCGTATATTCAATTTCACTACACAAATTTCAAAAAGGCAGCTCTGGACTTCTCCCTAAGCCAAACTTTTAACTTTCCATGACACAAGCCATCAAAGTGGAGTCCCTGGGATATAGTTGCATGGGTCGCGGAAATCTAAGATGCTGTACACGGTCTCAAAGCGGGCTAGAGCATTATAAAATGGCGTGTATCAACAATTACCTGTAACTTCCGTGGCACCCTTTACCCAATGTTGCAGCAGCACTAGGTGAAAAAATTTTCCGCTTATATGTCGGGCTTAGAGTATCATTTGGCCCTGGAACGACTTTTAAGCCACAGCAAGCCCGAGTCAGCCGTTAAAGCCGATTTTCACACTTTGTAACTTCCGTCAAAACACCCACTAAAACGTACGGGAATACCTTATGGCTCAAGTTTTTAGGAAGGTAGTTCAAGGTCTTTACTATAAATACCATTGCCATAACTGTAGTATCATCCAGGACTCCAATAATCAGAAAAACTCAATTGGATATTTCTCACTTTCGGCAAATCAGAGACGTCAAAACACCCCGAAACGTGAGAATCGCTCTTGGCTCATTCGCTAAAGTTAAGACCACTGGGAAAGCCTCTCACGGGAAGTTTTGACAGTTTCCCCAGGATTTGGGACTTTTTTGGCAACTTCTGGCAGTTTTTTGCCAATATCTCCCGAAGTATGAGTCCTAGCTCAATTCCGGACCCAGATTCAGATTCCTTGGCTCATTTTACGTCTGAAAAACCTTATCTCAGCTTCCTAGTGCAAATACTGTAGCAAAAGTAGAAAATACTCAAATTTAAGTTAAAAACTCAAATTTAGAAAAACAGCTGCAGATTGGTCAATTGGCGACGCAAAGATTCTCCCGCGCGCCCCTGGTGGCCGCTTCGCGAAGCTCCCTAAAGGCTATACTGGGCACCGGCTTGCATGGCGATTAGCCGCGATGGATCATCAATACGCTAATGACGAGTCCCGTGGCTTGAAACGGAAGAAAGGAACCACTTATTGTTGTGTGCCACAGTGTTCACAATACGCCTCGGAAGGAATAAGCTTTCATTTATTCCCAAGAGAAAAAAACCAAAGGAAGAAATGGGAGTCAGCCCTCCGAATGGGCAAGCCAGCCTCGGATACTATGCGTGTTTGTTCGAAGCATTTCAGCTCTAAAGACTTCTTTCCCAGCTGTAAGTATCTGTAAGAATGTAATGTGGACCCTTATTAACCGTTCTATTCACTGGTTGTGGCATGTCACTTGCATAATACTGTGAAATTCGTTGTTTTGTTTATTGGTCTTTCGGGGTTATGTAAACTTTGTTTACCTTGCTGTTCTCTTTCAGCTAATTCTACCCAGAGAAAGAAATTGTTTCCTAAGGCAGTCCCATCTCAAAATCTGCCCCAACGAACTCATGACAAAGGTGTGACTTCAGATGAGGCTGAAAAACGTTCAGCCAGAGCAGGAAGAATTGCTAAGAGGGATGCTGCATCTCTAAGGTTTGTCTATTGTTTACACTAATTTAAATCAATAATAACATTGAAAGTATATTAAATGACAAATATTAGTTGTGTTCAAGATTGAAATTTATAAATTTCCATTATGTTCAGGTGCCCAGTCAACACTGAGACTGATAACGACACTAACGACACTCACACTGATGATGTAGAATTTGATGAAGAAATCCCCTGTCTTCGAAGCATTCTGGATTGTGCTGTTCAAGCAAATCTTGCTGACACAAGAAGTATTCGTCCTTGCTGTGAAGGTGTTACTCTGGCTGACATTCTAAGTGACTTAGATACTGGAGAGAAGTGCACTCAAGTCAACTTTTTGCCATTATGGAAAGATGAAGATGACAGCAAATCAGTTCCCTGCATTACTTTACCACAACTTCTGTGTACCAAAGAGAAACTGTTTACCTTCACTGGTCTCCATTCGCCTGATATGCTGGAGTGTTTAGCAAAATGTGTGGCAGATATAGCTGTAGATTCTCGAAGCAACAAGAAAATATTATCTGTTAGAGATAGAATTATTTTAACTATGGTAAAAATCAAGCAAAATATGGATTTCACTGCTATAGGTGTTCTATTTGGTATTAATCGTCAAACATGCTCTAATTATTTCAAGAATATGAGTCCGCTTCTTGCTAGAGTATTGAAAGTAGTGATACCGTGGCCGGACCAGAGCATGATAAGGTGTAACCTTCCCCTCTCTTTTGATAAATTTAGAAACACAAGAATTATACTTGATTGTTGTGAAGTAACCATTGAGAAATGTAAATGCTTAAAATGCAGAGTGTTAACATACTCCCAATACAAGAAAAACCACACTGTCAAGTTTAACATGGGAGTAGCACCTTCAGGACTCATAATTGAAACAAGCTCTGCTTTTGGTGGCCGAGCTTCAGACAAGCACATTGTCGCTGATTCAGAAATATTGAACAGGCTTGATTATGGAGATGCTGTCATGGTGGACAAGGGCTACCAAATAGAGAAGGAATGTCTTGAGGTAAGCTTCATATTATTGAATTTAACTGTAAATTGCGAAAAATGTTTGTCTTATTTTATTTTCTTTGCCTTTTAGAGAAATTTGACTTTGTATCGACCACCATTCTTGACCCAAAAGAAACAACTAAGTCGAGAAGAAGCTTTGTCCTGTGCTGAGATAGCTAGGGCAAGAGTGCATGTCGAGAGAGTTTTCCAGCGGATTCGAGAGTTTGATTTCCTTCGTGGGCCAGTACCTTGGCCTCTGGCCCCCTACTTTGAAGATGTCTTAACTGTTACTATGGGTCTGACTAATATAGGCCCACCAGTTATTAATATTGATAAGTTTATGTAAGTGTCTTCTCTTTTAATAAGAGGGACAGTTTCAATGTGTCAGACATTTTAATTGAAGTCAAGCTAATTAAAAACGAGCTTATAAAAAAATTGTTTTCTTAATGTCAGAAATTAAAAAAATTGTTGCACATGCCCAACATGAATTCACATACCTAATCATTAACAGTTTGATTAGACAGGTGGTCTTTTACCATCCTAGGTAAAAACTTATCAAAGTAAACATGGACAAGCCTTGAAAAGAGGTCTAACACATGTTTTTCATCAAAAGGAACTCTGACATAATGTGAATCTTTTCCACTTTCTGAGTAGACAACATATTCACACATATCTACCCCTGTGACCAACATACCTATCTGCATTTGGGCATAATGCTGGGTTTTCACCTTTACATTTCCATTCTCATCTAAGGTTTTAATACAATTATATTCCACAAGCTCCTGTGCATTGAGATGTTGACCTTCTTTAAATGTTTTAATTTCTATAGTGTTCAAAAACTTTCCTGTCTCATCGATTACAGTTCCATCAACACTAGCCCCGAACCAGGGTATTTCTGGTCTCACCAAAAGACCAGTCTCAAAAACTTTGCATCTACGTTGCTCTTCATAAAGGTCTCTTGCTAAAATTTCACAACGAAGTCCTGCAACTGTGTATTCATTTCCCTTGAATGTACTGTGGTACAACTCATTGTATCTTGCGTCCCAATCAGCTTTCTTGTTGACATAGTAGGTATACTGGGCTCTAGCTTTGCTTGCACTGATTCGAACACTGCGGTGCTTATGCCAAGCTGCTGTGCCCTGGGGTGTGTTGGCAAGTTCGACACACTCCTGGAGGTTTACTTTCACAAACCCTTCGTAAAACTGAAGTAGGTTTGGGGCTAAGCAGTCAAGCTTCTGTTGCGTCAGCTGTCTCACAGCTGATACAACCCGCCAAGTGCGGAATGTCAGCAGCCTTTTAATGGTAACTTTAATCTCCTCTTTGCGGCTTGCTGCATCCTGCGGGCAGCATGCTACTCCTGACCCTTGCCTCAGACAACTCGTGAAAAGGGAAAATTCACTGAGAACTGCACCTACAATGCACACAATAAGACACAAGAAATAAACATGAATTTGTTTATTTATAAAATACTTCAGCAACAGTTGTTAATAAACAAATCACAACACATACACAAAAGTGATTGACACAAAATAATTTCAAGGCTCAGACAGCCCACTCATAAAAGGTACAGTTCATTACAATACTATGACTTTCTCAAATAACAGAGAGAAGAAATCAAAAGAAAAAAAATTAAGTGCATTGATGGCTTGTAAAGAAAAACCAAACTTCATTTAGGCAAAAAGTGCCAAAAAGTAAATTATAAAAACGGTATAAAAAATGGAAAAAAAATCACGAGAATTTCTTACAGTTGGTCAGTGCTTCCTTCCACCTCTCTTCCATTTCTTTGGTGACCTCTGGCATGTTAGAAACATATACATCCCTCTTCGCTTTCACATGGCACAACTCGGTGAGTTTTTTCGCCTCGTATTCCTGAAGGGGTGCTGCCTTCAGAGAACCCCACTGCTGCTCAATGTCGGTGCAACTTAGGTCATCTAAGTCAGACTCTTCAACCCACTTCAACCCTAAAAAAAGAACAGTCCAAATATTATTTCCACTCCCTAGGGTACTTAAACTTGGTCAAAATAGAGCCGAATGCAGCGCTGGTAAGGTTACCTTGACAGGTACAGAAGCACTGCAATAATATGTTTGCACTTCTCGGAAGCTCCAGCCGGGCATTGACATTCAGGCGAGGAGTCTTTGGTAACACGCTGGCCAGGTGGTTTTGACAAATCAACCCAGATTTCAATAACATACGGAGTTTTGGTGGTAACTCCGGTAGTGCGAAGGACTAGAGCCTGGATGTGTAGTTCGTCATCATTTTTGGCTTTTATACCAATTGCGACAACAAACCCGGCCTGTAGCACTTGTTCGCCTTCGCGTATAGGTCTCTCAAAACCTATCGACGCATTAACAGCGTCTAACACCGATAAAATCATGCTGGATTGTAATATTGACAACGATTACCCTACACACGCCGTGTAAACAGATCCCATGGATAGCCTTTAGAGAGCTTCGCGGAGCGGCCACCAGGGGCGCGCGGGAGATCTTTGCGTCGCCAATAAATTTTTGCCGGACCTGCTACTCTGGCTTTTAGCATCTTTCTAGGGTGCTAAAACACCCACCAAAAATGAGCCAAATCGGAGAGGTGAAATCCAACACGGTCACCTCTTATATACTCTTGCTCAATTAGAGCCCACCCCGATCCCACCTCTGCCTGCCCTGACGCGGCAGGCCCGCTCGACTTGCCTGAGCAAGGGGCTGCCTACCCACTAGGCGTTATGTACGCTTTGTAGTGTGTGGGCTTTCCCCACGGTAGAAAAACGTAACTTCATTGCCAAAACCATGTCTCTGAGGTATAAAAATACCTTGCATGGTGAAGATTGCCAAAAGGAAGAGTCGCAATCGACTTCCGGAGAGAAAGAAATCTGTTTCAGTCATTTTTAGTGAAAACAGTGAAATTGAGCAACTTTGAGAGCCCGTAGCGTCTAAACCCGACGTCGTAGAGCCTCGAGCGACCGGCATTCGAAAGAGCGCACTTTTTTCTTTCGGAAAAATCATATTGGTAGATTTTTTAGTTAGCCGGCAGGTTCCGAGATCCCAAAAAGCCCCAAACCCTCAAAAACAGCCATTTTGGGGAGTTTTTGACCCGTGCCAAAAAGCCGATCGGTGTTGGATCCGGCCCAATTTGTGTTTAGGCAATTCGTTTTCTCTAGTTGAACCAAAAAAACCGGGAGGGAGCCAGATTTGAGGGGGTCCCCGGCCAAGTGTTTTTTTTTGGCCCGCCCTTCTATTCAAAAAATAGGGGGAGGGCCTATGCATTTGCCTTTGTGTCTGTGTGTTGTTGTTGTTGTTGTTGTTGGCGTCTGTGTACAAGGAAGGAGTTGAGCTAGAGTAACCAGATTTGGAGGGTACTTCAGGAGTACCGTCCAAACAAATAATCCGGTGGTGCAAATCCCGTCCGGGTCGCACAAGGGCTGCTGCAGGTGCATCATGGTTTACATGAGCGGGAGGGGGATTTCCGCCATTATTGGTGCTAGCAGGGCACATATGGGTATTTTTGGAAGCGGGGCGACGAGACAAGATGAATGGACCTGGTCCCGACCCCATCGGCCGCTTTTACAAGTTGGCCAGATCAGGATCTTCAAAAAAGGGGGTCGACCGACCAAAAAAAATTATTGCAGATTTCGATTGGTCTCAGCAAGACCTTTTCAACGAGGGGTCGGAAAGGGGGTCCAGGAGCCCGACATCGTCTATTAGTCACATCAGGATCTTGAAAAAAGGGGGTCGACCGACTGAAAATCTTTACTTAAGTTTTGGATAGGTCTTGGCAAGACCTCTTCAACGAGGGGTCGGAAGGGGGGTCCAGGAGCCCGCCTTCATGAGTTATGGGAAAAAGTGCGACGGACTCGTTTTGCGCTCCTGCTGTGCCTCTATTGCAAGGAGTTGCAGTAGCATTGCAAATATGGGTATATTCGGAATGAGGGCGAAGAGACAAATGAAACCGAATGAAACGGGCATATTCTAAGGACAGTTGGAGTAAAAAGAGTAAGGACTTTTGCATATTGTGAATAGAAGGGCGGGCCTAAGTCACGATGGTACATCGATAACTTTGCTTTCCCGCTCACGGTGTGTGTGATGCGAGCGGGCCGAAGGCCAGGGCCTTCGACTGGCCAAGTTGGGTCTGATGCGAGGGCCGAAGGCCCGAGAAAAGGCCGCCGGCAGGCCAAGCTGGGCCGGCCCCCTGTCGAACCGAGTTGCCGGCGCAGCGAAGCGGAGCTGGCAACTCGGTTCGACGGAAGGGCGGGCCCTAGCTTGTTTTTTCTGGAGCTGCTCAGTACATTTTTTGGCGATACAATCGAGTACCATGAAACGGGGTAATTTCGGACACTCGGTGTAATTTCGGACAACTCTGCCCGGAAGCATGGCGATGACGCTCCCATCTAACGGCCAACTTGGAGGCTTGTCCCGTTGCGCGCATCGCATCGGCCACACTTAAAACCATCTGATCAATCACTCGGAGGCCAAATCAGGGGTAAACTTCAGGAGAAAGAGTGGTTTTTGTATTGAACCATCTATACCTAAATTCGCTTTATGCGTAAAAACTTTGACTGGCAAGCCGAAACTGTTCATGGCCGGTTCATGAGATGATTGTTTGTCGATTCGATCATGTTAAGAGCATACTGTGTCAAATTTTCAATCACCTGGGTCAAATAGTATGGTTTAGGGCTCAAAACTAAAAAAATGTTACTTTACAGGGTAATTTCGGATATACAAACGAGGGGTCGGCAACTATATTACTTCGTACGCGGTGGCTATATTACCCGTATATTACTTGTATATTACCATATATTACTTGCATATTACCACACTTTCGCCTCTATAATACCCCTATATTACTATATATTACTTTGTATTACTTTATATTACACATATATTATCTATTTTACTGGTAATATACGTATACTCCCTCGTACACGGCCAAGGGAAGTTGCCGACCCCTCGCATACAAACGTCACGCCAGGGAGAGTGGGTATGTCCTGAACACTTTCAATTTCGCAGGGTTTGAGTGGTGAAAGCTGAAGAGCTCTTCTGAAAGTTGAAGATAATCCAAACACAACGATAATCCCACTTTGTAAACTTCGAATTTCATAAAAATGGGGCAAAGCTACGTCTTTAACACTTAGTTTTATGTGCATATCTTACCTTAGTGTCAACGACTTTTTTGTGATTAGTTTTCTTTCATCTGACATGAGAGTTGGACTTGGCAAATGGTTGCATAGCTCGCCGGTTTACTACAATTGAAATGCAAAGCTTTCCACTGAGCCCCTGTATCTTCCTAACTGTACATACGACACGACTACTTGCCCTTCATATACATGTATGTGATTGTATGTAATCTTGTAGACGAAGATTTAAGATTCACTTTCGCGTAATAAAGTATGATCCAAGTTGCCTTTGAAAGCTAATCGGTCAAAAATTTTAAAATAGAAGCGTTCTAAATGGCTCTACTAGCTCCACCCACTATTCCTGAAATCGAACTACATATGAGTGCAAAACCATGACTTCAAATTATGTATGAATGACCACCCCGACCTTGCCTTTACATCTAAACCCTTACGAATTTCTCATATAATCATATTAGCACTTTAGAAAGAGACAGTGATCGATTTTGGGACCAAAATCAGAACGAAAAGTCGTTTTTTCCAGGGGTGTCCGAAATTACCCCAAAACACGAGGTAATTTCGGACTCTGCTTCGGACCCTCCACTGTAAAAACGGTGAGGTGCAGATATTTAAAATAAGCGCCAGAACGAAGCTAAAGGTGGGTAGATGATAAATTTTAACCCTCAAGTCCATGACAGCACCACAACTTTCACAATTTCAAAAAACCTCTCATGTCCGAAGTTACCCCGTTTCACGGTATCGCCAATAAACGGCCTTACGGAAAAGTCGAGGGGGTATTCACTTCGAAAACTGGCGCACAGAGTAGTCGCTATTACGCTTATTACAATTATTACGCGTTATTACACATTATTTTACATTATTACACATTATTTTGCATTATTTTACATTATTTCACACTATTACAGGATTATTACAGTCATTATTACGGTCGTTTTTGACCGAAAGGGAAGCCCAGCACCACCTTGCCCCCCTCCCGTGTTCGCCATTCAACTGTAGTTTTTCATATTACAGAATGCTGTTTACATGCTACTAAAATTTTAAGTTT